TCTCTCTCTCTCTCTCTCTCTCTCTCTCTCTCTGTCTGCCCTTCACACACTTGTGTCCTGTCTCTCTCAATATGAATGAATGAATGAATGAATGAATGAATGAATGAATAAGAAAATCTTTTTTAAAAAGTTGAAATGGATCCTTGGCAATGGTTTCTGTGTACCTACTGAAAGGATCATTGCCCATAAAGTCTCCCTTCAATGACTGTCAGCAGTCATTTTTCTTGTAACCTAACAAGTAACAGAGGCAGCCGTTATTTCAGCATCATGGGCTAAACAGAATTGTCTTGTAGTTCTGGAGACTAGAAGTCTGAAATCAAGGTGCCAACAGGGCTGTGAGGGTGAATCTGTTCTACAATATTTTCCTAGCTTCTGGTGGTTTGCTGTCAATTCTTGGCATTCCTTGGCTTGTAAAATTCTTAATCCTTACAATTTTGCCTTAATTTTGATTCTGGAAAACTTAGCACTTAGGATCAGATACAAAGCTATTCTCTTTAAATTCTCAACCTACCTTAACTTCAACATTTAGAATGTTAGAAAGTTTATAGGAAAAAAGAACCAGAAAAATTGTATCATTTATTATTTTCTTGAATTAGTGAAGTATTTTCAAGAATCTGTGTCTAGATGCCATGATATGAAGTATTAGGAAATGCAAGGCACAGAGCTCTCTTTATGTCTGAAAGTATGCCAGATCTAGAACACAAAAGCCATAAACTGCTTTTAGATCCCTGTTCTTTTATGATAAAGAGCAGTGTTTGAATCTGCTAAGGCATATTAAAGTGGTCACTTTCACAAATTATTATATATTCCTTCTCATATTCTCTCAAATACCAGACATATAGAGTTCGCTTTCTACCCCTGGTGAAAGTGCCCGATGGCCTAGGCATGTGGGAGTGGTACCACCAGCTACACAGAGGTCAAATAGACCTTAGGAGTTAAGTGGTGGGGGACTAAAAGAGGAGGGTCACTATTTCAGAGATAACCAAAAGTTAAACAAAGAGACAAAAAGAAGTATTTTACTAACATTTTTTATATTTTTTATTTTGAAAGATATTATACAGTGACGCAATACGTATATACGTAATATACTGTGTATTCAATTTAAAGGAACAATAATAAAACCAATGCCATGTTAACAAGACCCAGCTTAAGAAGCAGAACATTAACAGCGCCTTTGAAGCTTCCTATGTGCCCCTCCCTGCTGGAATCCTCCCACCAGAGATAACTACTAAATTTAGCGTTAATCATGCTCTTGCTTTTCTTAAGCAAATATACATGTATATATCCCTAAAAATTTGTCTTACTTGTTTTTGAATTTTATATAAATGGAATCATATTATATTCATTTATCTGTAACTTCTTCCATTCAACATTATTTTATCCATATAGTTCATTCACTTTCACTGTTCCTAAATATACAATTGTCTGAATATACAATTAGATATCCATTCTCTTATGGATAGGTATTTTGGTTGTCTCCAGTTTTTTGCTATTACAAGAATGCTGCTGTGAATATTCCCACACATGTCTCCTGGGGTACGTGTACAAATGTTTCTCTGGTTACATAACTAGAAGTGGAATCATTAATTATGTGCATGTTCAACTTTACTAGGCAATTCTTAACAGTTTGGTGTGGTTAATAGCTGATAAAAATGTTGCAGTTTTGTAAATTTGGACAAGCTTCAAATGAAAGGAAGAGAGTACCCAGAGGATTGGGAGGGGAAGAAAACAATAATCATAAGCATAGAGAATATTGTTTACTATGTACAAAGCAAGTGTTCTTTTTAATTTTTAAACATCCAAGTTAGTTAGCATACAGTGCAATAATGATTTCAGGAGTAGAATCCAGTGATTCATCCCCTACATGTAACACTGATGGCTCATCCCAACATGGGTCTTCCTTAATGCCACTAACCCATTTAGCCCATCCCCCCTCCCACAATCCCTCCAGCAACCCTCAGTTTGTTCTCTGTATTTAAGAGTCTCTTATGTTTTGTTCTCCTCCTTGTTTTATCTTATTTTTGCTTCCCTTCCCTTATGTTCATCTGTTTTGTACCTTAAATTCCACGAGTGAAGTCATACGATATTTGTCTTTCTCTAATTTCACTTAGTGTAATACCCTCTAGTTCCATCCACACAGTTGCAAATGGCAAGATTTCACTCTTTTTGATTGCTGAATAACACTCCATTGAATATTTATACCACATCTTCTTTACCCATTCATCTGTCAATGGGTATTTGGGCTCTTTCCATACTTCAGCTATTGTCGATAGTGCTACTATAAACTATTGTCAATAGTGCATGTGCCCCTTTGAAACAGCACACCTGTATCCCTTGGATAAATACCTAGTAGTGCAATTGCTGGGTCATAGGGTAGTTCTATTTTTAATATTTTGAGGAACCTCCATACTGTTTTCCAGATTGGCTGCACCAGTTTGCATTCCCACCAGAAGTGCAAAAGGGTTCCTCTTTCTTCACATTCTCACCTGAGTTGTTAATCTTAGCCATTCTGACTGGTGTGAGGTGGTATCATTGTGGTATCATTTGTATTTCCTCGATGATGAGTGATGTTGAGAATTTTTCATGTGTCTGTTAGCCATCTGGATGTCTTCTTTGGAAA